CCACCAAATTAGCTATAGATGCTGGGTTCCGCCATTTTGATTCTGCTTTCACATACTTAATGAAGAAGAGATAGGACAGGCCATCAGGAGCAAGATTGCAGAGGGCATTGTGGAAAGAAAAGACATATTCTACACTTCAAAGGTATTTTGTATATGTTGTTCAAGTGTGTAGTAATTATTGCTTTAATTAAATCTCATATGTAGAACAGATAATTATATGACTAGATCAGTAGCTGTCAGTGAATTTTGATTATTATTATGGTTATAAATTTGATTCACACATAATGATATATAACATCCATTCTGAAAAGAGAATGAGAGATATCTAATCATTTCTGTGTGCAGTTTTAAAACTTTAAAGTGATGTCCTCTTATTTATCTGAGCCTACTTCGTAGCAGTATGATTTAACAAAGGTCCATAGAATAAGAGAGCCACTATCAGATTATGACTCTCCTTACCTTCTTTCCTCAATTCATTATTCTGAATAAAATTTTTCAGTTGTATCAATAAAAGAAAGCGTTGTAAGAAACCTCTTTAGATATTAAACATGATTTTGCTAAGTGCTTTGTAATTGTGTGTAACACATTTATATCTTCAAAACATTTCCCCCTCTGTCATGTTACTAATATTGACAATAATTCTTTGTCAACCAGTAAAAAGAAGGGAGAACTTAACTGTTTGTATACCTTGTAAATTCTATCTAACATTTTTCAGAATATGGACATTATATTACCTCATAAAATATATTATCTATTGAGTAAATTTCCATTGTTCAAAATTATCAAATGTATGCATTGTAATTTCACTTGAATAGGTCAGATAAAAGGATATTCACTACAGAAGAGAGCATTTTTTCACTGTGCTGGTCAGTCTCTAACTAATAGATTCACTTCCCAATATCAGGTGAAGGAAAAAATAAATTTGATTAATGTATTAATCCAGCACAACTTTCAATAATTAACCTTTGCAGCTTTGGTGTACTTCCCATCGACCAGAGCTAGTTCAGCAGAGCTTGGAAGAATCATTGAGAAAAGTTCAACTGGACTATGTGGACCTCTACATTATTCATTTTCCAATGGCTTTGAAGGTAGGCAATTTGAATGAATAAATCTTTTTCACTTCAGCTATTGGCATGGATAGTTATCAGTAATGGGCCCTCATTTTTAGTCATGATTGAATTAAAACTATATAAATGTGTGAGAACTTAATTCATGTAAGTTACAGAAACTACTCAAGACATCCTATGAACAGAGCTTACTGTATTTTATAATATTTGAGTCCAAATCATGGTTTAAAGTAGTCTTCAGAAATGATTTTGTTTATATCAATTCCTTACTTCTGCATTACCACAAGTGTGGCAAAGTCTTTTAATTTGGTGGAGAATTTGACATTGAGACATTAAAGGCTCATGGTCATTGGTTCTTGGTAGCTTCTCTAATCTTACAGCATCAAAATTAATCTTTATAGCACCTTGATTGACCGTGGTTTTGTCATGTACTTGTCCTTGGAATAAATGCGTTCAGGGAGAACACTGACTCCTCAGCTTTCGTCAATACTGCAATTTATTATTGTTGAGGATCAAGGCTATATATCTTATTTCCTAGTGAGAGAGACACAGTTCCTGAGATGAAACTATAGAAATAAGCAAAGTAACAAGTCAGCCAGGAGACATTATTAGGCTCTGGAAAACAGTATACACACACACACACACACACACACACATGCAGAGTTCTGAGAGAATAGAGGAAATCTGTCATCAAAAGACATTAAAATATTTTAAATGTGTGTGTAGGGGATGTTGTTGCATCTACTTTACAAGGTTTAGTGTCTCATCCTAGGTATACCCAGGAGCATTTCATGGGTGGAAACTTCAATTTCTAGCCATCACTTTAATGACTGCTTTTATTCCAGCCAAGTAAAGAGCGAATTCCAAAAGATGAAAATGGAAAAGTAATGTATGACACCGTGGATCTCTGTGCCACATGGGAGGTGAGTTTGAGGAGATACCAGAAGAGAATGCTGGGGAGGGAGAGTCAGGTCCTCTTCCACCTTTTGAATGATATCCACAATTCTGGAAACAGAAACTCCTGATTTTGAAAGTGGATGTTTTGCTGTGTGTTGGCAGGGAATACACTACCGCGATATAATAGTAAGAAATCAAAATCAGGATTAAGCAGATGTTTTCCTCCATCTGCACTTCTCTCAGTTTTTTTTTAAAGATTTATTTATTTTTTTGAAAGTCACAGTTACACAGAGAGGAGAGGCAGAGAGAGAGTGAGAGGTCTTCCATCCGATGGTTCACTCCCCAGTGGCCGCAATGGTAGGAGCTACGCTGATCCGAAGCCAGAAGCCAGGAGCTTCTTCCGGGTCTCCCATGTGGGTGCAGGGTCCCAAGGACTTGGGCCATCTTCTACGCTATCCCAGGCCATAGCAGAGAGCTGGATCGGAAGTGGAGCAGCCGGATCACAAACAGGCACCTATATGGGATGCTGGCGCTTCAGGCCAGGGCGTTAACTCACTGTGCCTCAGCAGCGGCCCAAACTTCTCTCAGTTTTATAAGGAGGACATATTAATATTTTTTCTTACACTGCCCACCTTGTTCCTCCCCCTCCCCCTTTTTTTACTAGTTTTCTCTTCAGGATGTGCAATGTTATTTATCTTGTCAACATTCAACAATGTTCTTATTAACAACACTTCTCATTTGTAAATATTATTCAATCATTCTTCACTTTTACAGGCCATGGAGAAATGTAAGGATGCAGGGTTGGCTAAGTCCATTGGGGTGTCTAACTTCAACCACAAGCAGCTGGAGATGATCCTGAATAAGCCAGGGCTCAAGTATAAACCTGTTTGCAACCAGGTAAGGGCCTTCAGCCTCCTTTTTTTTTTTTTTTTTTTTTTTTTGACAGGCAGAGTGGACAATGAGAGAGAGAGACAGAGAGAAAGGTCTTCCTTTTGCCATTGGCTCACCCTCCAATGGCTGCTGCGGCTGGCGTGCTGCAGCCAGCCACCACGCTGATCCGAAGGCAGGAGCCAAGTGCTTCTCCTGGTCTCCCATGCGGATGCAGGGCCCAAGAACTTGGGCCATCCTCCACTGCACTCCCGGGCCACTGCAGAGAGCTGGCCTGGAAGAGGGGCAACTGGGACAGAATCTGGTGCCCCGACCAGGACTAGAACCTGGTGTGCAGGTGCCGCAGGTGGAGGATTAGCCTATTGAGCCACGGTGCCAGCCAGCTTACAGTTCTTAATGTGATCTTCTGGGCAGGGTGGACTTACCCTTGAGTTATTAAGCATGACCAGAGTTCAGATGTGTACATGTGATGTGGAGGGAAAGGAAGATGATAAATGCCTGGAATAGTCAGTCATCAGGAGACACTGAAAATAATATTAGGTAGATAGAGCATATGGGTTTGTGTGTATTCAAATGCCCTAGTTTTTCTCTTGACATCTGCTTTTAGATGTCTCACAGCCACAGATCCATAACATGTGAACTAGAAACTGAAAAAGTCATACAGGTTTGAGGTAGAATGTGAATCTGTTTATGGTGGTACCAGTGGTGCATGAATACTCAGATACTTTTAGTAGAACCAGAGCCAATCCTATGCCTGACTCTATCTAAATCTGTATCTCCTCCATTGCTTTTGCCATCAAGTATCTCTTCCAGCTCATCTATTTTGTTTCTGATTCTGTGCCCTAACTTACTTCTTAAGATCTGGTAGCTCTGTTGTAAGGATTCTAAATTAGAAAAATATAGCTCGTAACATTTGCAAATTTTTTATTTACTGATGATGCTTTAAAATATAATATTACATGCTGGTGTTGTGGCTTAGAAGATTAGGCCTCCACCTTCAGTACTGGCATCCCATGTGGTCTGCAATTTGAATCCCAGCTGCTCCACTTCTGACCTAGCTCCCTGTTAATGCATCTGGGAAAGCAGTGGAAGATGGCACAAGTAATTGGGCCCTTGCACGCATGTGAGACATCAGGATGAAGCTCCTGAATCCTGGCTTCAACCTGGCTTAGCCCTGGCTGTTTCAGCCATTTGGGGAGTGAACTAGTAGATGGGAGATATCTCTTCCCCCCATTCTCTCTCTTTCTCTCTCTTCTCTCTCTGTATTTCTGCTTTTCAAATAAATACAAAAATCTCAAAAATTTACATATAATATTAAATGTTTTTTTCAAATTATTATCACTACACTTTTATTATGAAAGCTTTCAAATAATCAGAAGTTTTGAAGCAATTTGGAGAAAATTCATATTTTCCTGTTTATATATAAAATTGTTGCCATTTTGCCAGGTTGTCAAATGTGTGTAAATACATGCGGATTTTACAAATATGCACAATAATTTACTGAACTCATTCAAAATATTTGGGAGACATGACTACTCATCCCTACAGACCTCCAAAACATCTAAGAATGTATAGATTATCCCCCAATGTTGCATTTCCATGTTAGATCTAAGGAATGTGATGATTGTCCTCTGATATCATTTAAAATACAGCCACATTTAAATTTTCCAGTGTTTTCCCATTGCTTCCTCTACTGCTCGATTCTTCATTTACCCACAATGTCCAGTACCAGACCGGGCCAAAGCAAGGAGCTGGAAAGTCAACCAAACTCTCCCATGCATAAGGCAGGGATCCAACTACCTGCTGCTTCTCAACAGCTGCACTGGAAGTAAATTAGAATTAAAAGTTGATCTTTTAGGGAACAAACCTAGGCATTCTGATATGGGATGCAGATGACTGCCTGCCTATCAATCCCTTTTCGTATAGACTGATTACAGATCCTTCCCCATCCCCAATATAAACAAAAAGATTTTGTAAAATATTCTGGATTTTACAGATTGTTGCTCTAAATTGACAGGTAATATGTCAATGTCCATTCCAATTTTCTGTTCTTTAGAATTTAGATTTGAACGTGTCATCATTTCCAAATTGAACACATTTAGTAGGAAAATAAACTTATCATGTTGTGTTCTTCAAGTTGTACTGCACTGAGAATCATTGAATGATGGGATTTCCCAATGTTATAGATTTCTTTTATAAAAACTTTTTTCTTTACTTGAAAGGCAGAGAGAGGGGGAGAGAGAGAGATCCCATCTGGTAGTTCATCCTTAAATAGCCACAATAGCTATGGCTGGGCCAGGCTGAAGCAAGGATATTGGATATTGGATCTCCATCCAGGTCTACCGTACAGGTAGCAGGGCACTGACTACTTGAGTCATCTGCTGCTGCTTGCCAGACAATTACCTGAAATATGAATCAGATGCAGAGCAGCCAGGACTCAAAAGTGGGCATGGATAAGGAATGCTGGCCTGAAGTTGGTGACCTAACTCACAAGATCACTAGATCACAACTGGTCACTTGGTTAACTCACCTTTTTAAGCATTATTCCCTTCCTTCATTGTAATTACTAATAATCTTTTGAGTTTTAACAGTCACAAGGAATCATATGACAAAACTTATTTTCAATAATATTTTAATATCCTTTGATGTATGTTTTCCTGGATTGTCGCTCCCTTGCCCGCAAAGGAACGACACTGTTCGCAGCTTATCGGTCTTCAGTAGACTTTTAATGAGAAAATAACAGTGACAGAGAAAGAATGAAGGGAGGAGAGTGGACAGAAAAGCCCCCTCCTTCTTCAGCACACAGCTTATATACAAAATCTGGCCAATTGCAAGCAGGCTCAAGTCCATGCACGGAACACTCCAATCCACTGTCTGTTCACGCAGTGTGCACGCGTCCTCGGGCCAATCAGATGAGGTGTCATGCAGCAGGCAGGCTCACCGCGCGGTCCTCGGCGCCATCTTGTTGTTTACAACATTCTCAACTCCTCTGGAAAGTCCCGACCATGGGAAAGCATTGCCCTAACCGAAACTAGCAACATCCACCTTGTGATAAAGACACAGCAACAGCTATCAGACCGACCTTGACGTGGGGGCTCCATGGCTGCGCATCCCATGGAGCCCCACATCTCCCCCTTCTTTATTATTTAAATGGCATGGAAACATGCCTATCTTAGGTACCCAATGGCGCGCTACCTGCTTACCCGTCATGGAGGTAATAGGAAGCCTGTCCTACCCTCTGTCTTAGGTTGCTAGTAGCGCCCATCAGTGTTTACCCGTCTTTGACTACCGCTCCATCATGCTAAGCCATACTTCTTTGTTGGGGTGAGATCGCAAGGTGGCCAGCATAGCCTGTTGGATTATCAAGTTGGTATTCTGCTGACGGAGTGCTAAGACTTTGATCCATCTGGCGATGAAGGCAAGGCCCAGTAGTACTATGACAAACAAGCAACCGATAGCGACCCATTCTTTAACTTGAGCCCTGTCTTAGGTAGGTACAGGATGTGGAGTGCCTTACCCATTTTTGAGTACCATTTTAGCCCAACATTAGGTGAGAGATGAAACATACAGCCAAATATAAATTATTTTTGATTACAAAGGAGGTTTGGTACAAAGTTTTAAGTGATGAATGTCAGTCCATACAGACTGTAGCAAAGTTAGCACAAATTGCAGAACACACGGAAAACATCCCATACAAAGTATGAAAAGCAGTAACAATCCAGCCAGCATTAATAACCAATGAATCCATCGAAACCCTACAAATGTTAGTGGGTTAGCAATAAATATATGTTGCATTTTACTCTTTTAAGTTTATCAATAACACTCTATATATGGCATTGTTAGTAATGTTAAAACAACATTTCCCTGGAACAGATTTACAGCTTATATGATCTTTTAACAGCAAATAATCGATAGCTGCTCGGTTTAAGAGTACTCCTGAACGAACTTGATCCAATTCTTCAGCTATATTGGGTAGCGCAGTAGCAGTAAGATTGCTTGTTTTGGTCACCAAACCTGTAAGCCTTCGTAGGCCACGATTATTTCCATAAGCCAATCCAGGAACTCCCACTAGCTGTTTAGCCATGGTGAAAGCAGGTCTCCAATTAAGATGACATCATCATCACAGTTCTCAGGTAATGAGCATCGCTGTTGTGCCTTTGGAAATACAGATGTTAGCATTGGGGCCACACGGCCCAATGAGCAGTTGCAAAAATCATCAGAGGTTAACAATGTAACAGCAAATTGGTTGCATAAAAATACCCATCCCTTAGGAGCCCATGTCCCATACCAGTACTGGATCAGGTCCATTCCATTGATTGGTGATAGGATCCTTCCATTTTACCATTGTTCTTACCCCAGCTGTTTGTGGATGCCACTGTTGATCAGATGCAAAACGACCATCTTTATCCAATGTGAAAAAATTTAAAATGAATAAAGCACGTGAGAGCCATTTGTTATGAGAATGGGCAAGAACCCTAAACTCCCCCTTTTGTTTATATTATTAAAATATTGTTTTAAAGTGTGATGTGTACGTATAAGAATGTCTTGACCCTGAGGATTATAAGGAATGTCAGTAACATGAGATAGAAAGTTACACAAAAATTTCTAAAAGAGGCAGAAATATAAGCAGGTCCATTATTCATTTTAATCTGTTTTGGAGTTCCTAGGGAAGCAAAAGCTTGAAAGCAACGGGCAATAACATGTCTTGTAGCTTTACCTGTATGTAAGGAAGCAAAAATAAATTTAAAACAAGCATCAATAGACACATGTATATATGTTTGTTTACCAAATTCCATGAAGTGGGTGATATCCGTTTGCCATGGTTGATTGGGGGAATAAATTACGAGGAATAATGTGAAAGTGAGGTACTGGTAACTGGATGGAGCAAGTAGAACAGAATTTTACAATTTGTCGAGCTTGTTCTTGAGTAATATTATGTTTAAAGTGTAACGTATGAGCATTTAAATGAGGTAAATTGTGATCTTTTGTTGCTGTATTAATAGAATATA